GGCAGGGGTCACAATTGCGCTTCCCCAGGAGAAGACTGTCTTTTACCAAGGGCTAGGAGAAAAAAAAAAAACATTTTCTCCTTTAAAAAAAAAATTTTTTTTTTTAAATTTAAAAAAAAATCCCGCTTTTTCTTTGACAAAGGGACAAAGGAAAGGCGCGTGTGGATCGCTTCGCAGGGCGTTTGTGTGTCTGCCTCTTTAGAACCGCCTAACTAACTAAGCCCATCCGTTCAAATCGCTCTCATTGATTCCCATCCCGCAGGGACACAAACTCCGGCCACTCGCCACCCAACCTGCAACCCCCACCGGGGAGAGCGAGGCTGTTTGCAAGACGCTTTTTACCCAAAAGGGGTAACTTAGGGCGGCATATAAATTGGACTAATAAATAAATAATAAATAATAAATAAACTAACGAATTAACTAGCTCGGTCCCAGCAGCAGCAGCAAAAAGCAGCCGAGCGGTCGAAGGCCGACTGCGGGTGCAGATCTGGGCGGCTTTTGCGCGGCCAGGAGGATCCAGCAGCGACCCCCTCCGGAGCCCATGCCCGCCAAACCGCGCCCGGAACTGCGGCATCGCAAGGAAAGAGAGAGAGGGGGGAGGGAGAGAGAGATGCCCGGCAAAGGGGCAAAGCTTTCCTGCCTCCTTCTGCAAAATGGCTGTCTCTAGGACCGAGGGACCCCCGACGGGAGGGACGGGGAAGGCCAGCCGCCCGCAACCCGCTGGGGTCTCCGCCGCCGCCGCCGCCTCCCAGCCAAGGCGGAGAAGCCAGCAGCAGCATCGGCCGCTCTTTGCATCCAAAGCAAAGCAGCTCTTTGCCCCCCCCCCCCCCGACCCCCAACGGGGGGGCTAAGTGGCGGGCTGGAGCGGGGGGGGGCGGCGACCGGCGGGGGGGTGGGGGGGGGGGGGGGGGGGGGGGGAGGTGGAAGGGTGCATCGGGGCTCGGCATTTGGAGCAGCCTCGGGGCGCTCGTCCTTCCAGCGGGAGGGAGGAGAAAGGAGAGGGAAGAAGAAGCAGAGCCGGGTCTTCCCGCGGAGCAAAGCCCATCCGCAGAGGAAGCGGCGGCGGCGGCGGCGGGTCCCCCTTTCGCCCCGTCCGTCCGTCTGTTCCCCCCCCCCCCAACCAGCCTTACCTGCTGGCTCCTTTGTCTAGGGGCTCTCCCCTTTCTCTGCGGCTCCATGTGGCCGAGCGCTAGGACCGCGGAGGAAGGAGAAGGAAATGGAGGCGCGGGGCGGGGCGGCCGGAGTGAGTGGGTGGGTGGGTAGGTGGGTGGGTGGCTGGAGGGAGTCCAGCAGGAATGAGCTGGAACTGCAGGGATCTCCCCCCCCCCCTTCCCTCTTCCTCCTTTTCCTCCTCCTCCTCCTCCTCCTGTTCTTCTTCTTCCCGCCCCGGCTGCAAAGGCAGCGGCTGCCTTTGAGACGGAGGGAGGCGATCTGGATGCTCGTCTCGTTGGATTAGAAGGGAATTTGTTGGAAGGGGGGGGATACGAAAGGGGGTGAGGGGAGGCGGGGGTGAGGCAAGGAGGAAGTGCGGCGTGTCCCCCGGAGGGAAGCGGGCAGGCGTTGCACCAAGCGGAAGTGTGGCGAAGCCGCTCCGGGGAACCTTTTGCAGGATGCACCAGACGGGGGAATATGGTATTTCCAAGAGGAAGGGAGGAAGGATGGATGGGAGAGGATAGGAGAGAGAGATGATAGATAGATAGATAGATAGATAGATAGATAGATAGATAGATAGATAGAGAGAGAGAGAGAGAGAGATAGATAGATAGATGAAAGATGATGATTAGATGATAGATAGATAAATGATTAGATGATAGATAGATATGGATGATTAGATAGATAGATGATAGAGATATAGATAAATGATAGATGAAAGATGAATGATTAGATGATAGATAAAGATAAATGATTAGATGATAGATATGGATGAATTAGATAGATAGATGATAGAGATATAGATAAATGATAGATGAATGATTAGATGATAGATAAAGATAAATGATTAAGTGACAAGATATGGATGAATTAGATAGATTAATGATAGATGATAGATAGATAGATGAAAGATGAATGATTAGATGATAGATGAAAGATGAATTATTAGATGATAGATAAATGATTAGATGATAGATAGATATGGATGAATTAGATAGATAGAGATAGATAGATAGATAGATAGATAGATAGATAGATAGATAGATAGATGATAGATAGATAGATAGATAGATAGATAGATATGGATGAATTAGATAGATAGATGATAGATAGATGATAGAGATATAGATAAATGATAGATGAAAGATGAATGATTAGATGATAGATAAAGATAAATGATTAAGTGACATAGATATGGATGAATTAGATAGATTAATGATTAGATGATAGATAGATGAAAGATGAATTATTAGATGATAGATAAATGATTAGATGATAGATAGATAGATATGGATGAATTAGATGAATGATTAGATAGATATATAGATGAAAGATGATTAGATGAAAGATGAATGATTAGATGATAGATAGAAAGAATTGTTTATTGGGCAAGTGTGATTGGACACAAGGAATTTGTCTTGGTGCATATGCTCTCAGTGTACATGAAAAGATACTTTTGTCAAGAATCATAAGGTACAACACTTAATGATAGTCATAGGGAACAAATAAGCAATCGAATCATACTAGGAAACAATATAAATCGTAAGGATACAGCAACAAGTTACAGTCATACATCGGCTAGCGCTGATCGTATTACCTAGTTTGGATAATGAAAGGTAATGCAAGGAAATAAGCAAGCTCAGGGAGCACCAAGGAGCCCTCCATTTCCAAAGTGGGTTTGCCTTGTGCTTCCTGGCAGCCCAAAGTGCTTCTCTTCTCTTGGCTTGATGGAAGAGCTGGGCACTTCCGGCAATAGGGAGGCGGCTGACGCTGTCTTCTCAGGGTGTCTCAAAGGTGTTTTTTTCAAAAGGCAACTGGACTGTTTTTTCCTTTGAGGAGAGAAGGAAGAAGAAAACGTTTCATTTCTCATCCAAGAAACTCCATCCGTTGACGAATCGGTTGATTAACAGATGAAGTTTCTTGGATGAGAAATGAAACGTTTTCTTCTTCCTCAAAAGGGAAAAAAACCCCAATCCAGTTGCCTTTTGGGGAAAAAAAAGCACCTTTGAGACAGCTATGACCAGCGTGACTGAGAATTTCCACCGACATCTTCCCAGGGTGATTTTTTTTCTTTTCCCAACTTCCCTGTCGTTCTGAGATTTCCGTGTGGTCTCGCATCCCAAATGCTAACATGTCAACCTATCTGCGGTGATCGAAATGTATGGCACGGGAAGAAATCCCAGAAGACATGAATGAGGATCGAAACCAATTCTGACAGGCTAGAGAAGAAAGTGACACTGGATCTTTCCACCTGCAATAGAACCAGCTGCTTTTACATGAATGGCGCCCCTTGGGGGAGTGATACATTTCTGTTCGGGAGCCGCTGAATAGCAAGCAGTTCTGAGGTCAAGGCTCTCCTTTCGTTAAGGAGAGAGAGAAAATGTGACTAAAGCATTATAGAGATTCTTTACAGTCCAGTCCAGGTCCCAAAGGTGCTTTTTTCAAGAGGCAACTGGACTTTCTGGTTTTTTTAATTTTTTTTAATTTTTTTTATTTTATTTATTTTATTTATTTTATTATTTTATTTATTTTATTTTATTTTTATACTACCCTACTCCCGAAGGACTCAGGGCGGTGAACAGCCACAAGATAAAAATACATCATACAAAAGTTAAAAACCATTTAAAAGTACATTAAATAATTTTGGCCCAAAAAACGAATTTAAAAACACCCAATTTGTATAAAACTTAAAAGCAAATTAAAAGGGAGAGTCAAGCCAGACCAGCCTGCTGGAATAAAAATGTTTTGAGTGCGGGGTGGAAAGTGCGTAAATCTGGGATCCTCCGTATCTCCGGGGGGAGCTCATTCCAGATGGCAGGTGCCCCCATAGAGAAGGCTCTCCCCCTGGGAGAGACGGCACCCTGAGGAGCCCCTCTCTATGGGAGCGTACTGGTCGGTGAGAGGCTAGTGGTGGCAGAAGACGTTTTGCTTCTCATCCAAGAAATTTCTTTAACTCTGACTGGGTGGGGAATGATGAGAAGCGAAACATCTTCAAAAAAAAAAACAGAACATAAAAAATCCAGTTGCCTCTTGAAAAAGCACTTTTGGGACAACCATGACCTGGATGAATGAGAATCTCCATAGATCAGGGATCTCCAGCCTTGGCAATTTGAAGCCTGGCTGACTTCAACTCCCAGAGTTCCTCAGCCACCAAAGCTGGCTGGGGAATTCTGGGAATTGAAGTCCGCTAGGCTTCAAGTAGCCAAGGTTGGAGACCCCTGCCATAGACAGTCCAGACCAGGGTCTCTGTTGCACGGCCTTATATGTTTGTGACACTTCAGAAGAGGCGATCCTTCTAAAAAATAAATAAAAAAGCAAATATGCACACGGGACTTCTGAGAATGTTGACGCGCTTCCATTGTTCAATATTCTCTTTTAAGTGAAAATTTTCAGCGCCGCTCTACCCTTTGGAATCTCTATGGCGAAATCGCTAACACGCCGTTGGGAGATGGGACAACTCGTTCCATCCCAAACCGGAAACGGGACAATAGAGCGGTCCACCTAGAGATAGAAAACTTTTAGAACGCTCCATGCTCTTTTCGGCACTTCCGTTCTAACGAAACGACTCTATTCCCCCCCCCACAAACACACCCTTAGCCCACCCCGCGAAAATTTTCCTCATAAGCCTCCCGGGAGAGAATAACGGGAGATTTGTAGATAGTCACCCGAAATACGCGTTAACGCTTTTAATATATATATATGATATGGGGTGGTGGTGAGGGGGCATTGTTTTGCAAAGGACGCTTTGGCTACCATAGAGAAAAAGCGGCACCGGAAGTCTATCCCCGTCTAACGAGGCAGGGGGAACGCTTTGAGGGGGTGCACATTTCCTGTTTCCTAGCAACAAAAGGAAGTATTTGTTGTTGCCCTCTCCTGCGGGACTCCTACCAGTAAATCCCGGGGTGTCGAGGCCGGGAGGCGTTGCGGGGCCGCCCAGCCCGGCCTGCGGGACCCCGTCATAGGGCTTCCGAGGGGGCCCGGAGGATTTGGCCTTGCCTTCCCCTCGTCCGTTTGGTTCCCCTCGGCCCGATCCGTCCGTTGCTCTCCGAACGGGAGGCGAAGAGCTCGGCGGGGTTTCTTCTCCCCGGGAAATGGTGGGTCGTCGTTCCCTTCTACCTCAGGGCGGGACACGTCGCGGACTGTGAGCCCCGCCCGTCCGCCTGGAGCCTCCCGGGGAAACGAGGGCCTGGGACCCTCGCGCCTCCTGAATGCGAATCTCAGGGTTTTCGGCCCCGCTCGTAGCTGCTGATCGCGGCCTCCTCCGACGCCGGATGCCTTAGGAAGCCTGGAATTACTTGCGGGCTGCTGCTGCTGCTGCCCTACTTGAACGGGATGCTTCCCGCTGGGATGTCCTGAAATGCACTGGATCCTATGGTGGAAGTCCAGCTCCTCTCACTCTCTTCTCTCTCTCAGCACTCAGGGTCTCCTCCACGTGTCGTCGTGGTCTTCTTCTTCAGCCTCTGGGACGGAGGCTTCTTCCTGCTCCGAAGATGGGGCTCTGAAGGCCTGCCTGGGTCCTGAAGGATGTCGCCTTGAATGCCTTTGGTTCTTGGGAAAGGCAGCGCAGCTTAAAACTCGGCCCCAGGAAACCGAAAAACCAACTTAACACCGCTCATCGCCCGACGTGTTTTGTGCAGTGTTTTAATGTACATGTAGCTCCTACATACATTAATATGTCCGGCTCTGGGCCGTGTTCCCTGTTTTGGGAGGAAAGACGTTTGTGTCGGTGGCTCCTGATAAATGAATGTTGTGCTGATCTGGGAAAATCAGAATGATTTGACAGGTGAGGAAACAATGTGTTTGTGTCCATGCATGCATTCATTCACTTGTATTCAGTGCGTAATTCTTCCGGACTGGTTGCCATCCGAATGTTTTAAACTGCAATGAACTCCCACTAACTGCAATTTTGCATGGTGAGGTTCAGGGCTGATGGGCATTACAAGGCCCAACCAAGCATCTGGAGCTGGGTCCAGAGTAATCTTAATAAAACCTTTGTGCACTATAGCTCTGTTTATTATAAAACCCATGCTTTTTGTTGTTGTTATTGAGTGGAAAAAAAATTCAGCTTAAAGTACTTCTGTATTTCCTGGATCTCTCCTTGTGCCTTGTGACTAGAATAAAATAATTGGGCAGGAGAGAAGACGGACATACAAGGAAATTTCTGTTATTGACCAGAACAAAAATAAAAGAATGACATCTGGTGAAATCATACACTGGGAACTAAGATGCTTAGTTTATTACACCTACCTAAGGACCTTGTTCCTTAGAAGGAGGTATAAAACTAGCGTTTTGTTCTGCATCAGAAAATCCTAGATTTCTGACCTATAGTTTCAGACTAAATTTGTTTCCTGTCCTTTTCAAACACAATTCTCAGTCTTTCTGTTCTTAGAGAACAGAGGAATTATTCCAATGTGCCGTGTAAGGCATCCAATTGGAGAAGGGTATTCTATGTCGATGCAATAAAAAACAGTTCTAATACAACCAACCCACAAGTTGAGGATTTCATAATTTGAGGTCACTTGATTTAGTGTTCCTTAATTGTGTCCCGTCTTCTTACCTGGGTTTTAGGGCCTAGAAGCTGAAACTTGCTGATTTAGGTTTTAAAAAAGCCAATGTGGTTCACTTAGTACATTTGTTCTCAGAGCAGCTTTTATTTTAGACACTAGCAACACCTACGTGTGTGTGTTATAAAACCTTTCCCAACTTATCAAATTAATGCCTAAAGGAAGTGAACTGCACTCATGTTATAAGAACTCCCTCCCCCTCCCCCCCCCGCAAAATAATCTGAGCCATAACCATGGCTATATTTTTGGTCACTGCTTTCACTGCTTTTCATAACCGAAGAGTGAATAATCAATATTCTAATACCTGTCAAAACTGGTCAGATATTTCCAGGAAGTCTACAACCAGGACATAACAACATTTCCTCTCGTGTCCTGATGTGACCTTTTCTAAGAAGCCGGCATTCAGACATCATTCTGTTTTTCCTGACTGGTAATGTTTGTGATGGCTCCTTTTCTGATTTGATACTGGCTGGTTCCTGCGGGAAGATATTGCAAAAGAGGGAGGTGGGAAAATTTGAGCACATACATGTATACATACGTACATGTAACAGTCTTCTTCACAGAGGTGCCCTCCTGAAGGGGGAAATACAGCAGGTTCTCGACTTACAGTAGTTTGTTTAATGACCAAAGTTAACCACAACATTGAAAAAAGTTATTTAGGACCATTTTTCACACGGCCGCTGCAACATTTCCTGGTCACGTGATCAAAATTTGGTTGCTTTTCAACTGGCTTATCTTTATGACAATTACAATGTCCCGGAGTCATGTGATCACTCTTGGTGACCTTTTTACAAGCAAAGTCAATAGGGAAGCCAGTTTCACTTAACAGCCGGGTTACTAACTTAACAAGTGCAGCGATTCACTTAGCAACTGCGGCAAGAAAGGTCGTAAAACGGGGCAACATTCACTTAACAACTGTCTCACCTAGCAACAGAAATTTTGGTCTGTTGTGGTTGTAAGTCGAGGGCTACCTGTGGTAGTAATTTCGTGACGAAGAGTCACACAGTCTCAATATATTGTGTAAACTGAACTGCTATGGGTTTTGTGGATTGCGGTTTATTGTGGTGGGTGACAATACTCAGTAAATCATGATTAGCATGGCTAGCCAAAGAAAACTGAGACAGCCACTCCAACATCAGTGCCAGAAGCCTGACTTATGGGGATCCCAAAAATTGCTTAGAGCTTGAAGTTGACAGAAGAAGTCTGCAAACTCTTTGTGGACAAGCCAACCTTTATTAAAAGGCATGGGCTTTCATGAGCTCCACTTGGAATAACATATTAACAGAGTTGGAAGGGGTCTTGTAGGTCATCTAGTCCAAGCAGGTAGGGTAGGGTAGGATAGGATAGGGGTGGATAGAGGTAGGGTAGGAATAGGGTAGGGTAAGGTATCCAAATTCCCTAAAGGTATCTTCTCCAAGTTCTACAAGGGAATGCTTTCCTGCATGATTCTCCATTTGAAATGATTCTTTAATGATGGTGTCCAAGAAGAAGTCAAACACTTACAAAGTAATAACCTTCAACAAAACGGAGTTGGAAGGGACCTTGTAGGGCATCTAGTCCAATCCCTCGCCCAAGCAGGAGACCCTACACCCGTGATGGCGAACCTATGGCACGTGTGCCACAGATGGCACGCGGAACCGTATCGGGCATGTGAGCTGAGCTCCGGCAAACATGTGCGCGCTGGCCAGCTGATTTTCGGGCCTTCTGAACCCGCTGGAAGTAGGCAAACAGGCCGTTTCCGGCCTCTGGAGGGATGGTGAAGGCCATTTTCGCCCTTCACAGGCTCCTAGAAAGGCTCTGGAGCCTGGGGAAGGTGAAAAATGGGCCTATCGGGCCCACCGTGCCATTGTGTGCCAAAAGCAAGGGAAGTGGGGAGGGGGTTGTGCACACATGCGCGGGGGCGGGGTGCATAGAATTACAGGTGTGGGCATGCACCCATGCAACTCCCCCGCGCTCCCCCACACTTCTGGCACGCAATGGCAAAAAGGTTAACCATCACTGCCCTACACCATTTCTGACAGATGGCAATCCAATCTCTTCTTGAAAGCCTCCAATGATGAAACTCCCACAACTTGCGAAGGCAACTTCTGTTCCATTGGTTGATTGTTCTCACTGTCAGAAAATTTCTCCTTATTTCCAGGTTGAATCTCTCATTGATCGGTTTCCATCCATTATTCCTTGTCTGGCCTTCAGGTGCTTTCGAAAACAGGTTGACCCTCTCCTTTCTGTGACAACTGCTGAGATATTGGAACACTGCTATCATGTCTATCATATCATGTTTTAGGCTCCAGTCCCCCAATTATCCTGGTTGCTCTTCTTTGCACTCTTTCTAGAGTCTCAACATCTTTTTTTATAGTGTGGTGACCAAAACTCGATGCAGTACTGTAGATGTGGTCTTATTAAGACTTTATGGAATGGTATTAGGACCTCACTTGCTTTAGCTTCACTTGGAATAGCCACACTTAGGTTTTAAACTGGGATGAGGAAGAGAGAGGAAAGCTGGTTGATTATGTAGATGCAACTTAGTGATGATGGATTTCAAGTACCTTATCACTTAATGATGGTCATGGCATAAAAAACCGATTTTGTGTGTGTAGAGATGGGCTGAAACCATTTGCTTTATGCAAGTTCAGCAATTCCCTCAATTTCCAAAACAATCATTGCTGTAAGGCAGCGGTCCCCAATCTTTCTGGCTTAGTGGCCTGCGGGACTGGGGGGAGGATGTTTCTGTAGGCATGTACACATAAGTGCGCACTCTGTTTTTGTGAGTGGGGGTCGCGTGCAAATGGAGTTTTGCGTTCGAGTACCTGCCAATCACACGAATGGAGCTTCAGGTGCGCATGTGTGCTTGCTGCTCACAAAACTGGAGCTGCATGCGCTTGTGTGCTCGCCCAACATTTGTGTGGATCGGTTTTGAATGAGCCACGGTCCAGTAATGAGCCGCGGCTCAGAGGTTGGGGACCCCTCCTGTAAGGTATGCAGGGTGATTGTGATGCAGTTCACAAAATCGTATGCCTTTTAGTATTGTCCCATCGGGGACTAGTCCTCTAGACCAGGGGTGTCAAACTTGATTTCATTGAGGGCGGCATCAGGGTTGTGTTTGACCTCGGGGAGGGGGGGGGGACACGGCCAGTTCTATATGCATTTTCGGCCGCGACAACATCCTGCAGCCCTCTGCCACTGAAAATAGAGCTCAGCTGGCTGGCGCGCAGCCCCCCAACCTCCGTTTTCACTGGCAGAGGCACCGCGGGCCAGTTCTTCACTACTTCCAGGGTACAGCCACGTGAGCCAGATCTAAGCATCCGTGGGCTGGATCTGGCTCGCGCACCTTGGGTTTGACACTCTTGCTCTAGACTAAGTGATCACTGTGTTTTCCTGCTGTCTTCCTGTTCCTTTTCCCCCTTCAAGGGTGGGAGCATTTTGGTGCGTATCCTCATAAAAGCTTCGTCTCTATTTTTTTTAAAAAAAAACATGTAATCCTCTTCTTACAGCCACAATTGAACCCAAAATCTCTGTTGCTAAGTTAAGTGAGTTCTGCCCCATTTTACGACCTTTCTTGCCGCAGTTGTTAAGCAAATCAGTGCGGTTGTTAAGTTAGTAAGTGTATCTGGCTTCCCCGTTGACTCTGCTTATCAGAAGGTCGCAAAAGGTGATCACATGGACCTCGGCACACTGCAACCGTCATAAATCTGAGTGTCTGGATTTTGATTATGCGACCATGGGGATGCTGGCAGCGGTCATAAGTGTGAAAAATGGTCCTAAGTCCGTTTTTTTTCAGCACCGTTGTAACTTCAAACAGTCCCTAACCAAACTTGTGTTGTAAGTCGAGGACTGCCTGTATAGATCTTGAGGTCAGCTGATGTAATGTTTTTAGGCACGAAGGTGGAAATCTGTGAGTTGAACATGAAGCCAATGCAGTGACTTCCTCTCAGACCTAGGAAGAAAGCACCGAGAAAACTCTCTTGAAAACCAATTGTCAAGAAAACTTCAGGGACGGGTCCAAGCATCACCAGAAGCCAAGACTGACTTGAAGGCACAACTTCCTATTAATGAAGCAGGGGAAAAAAGAAACAGATCTCTTCCTTTTAATGGTTCCTTTTGGTGAAGCTGCATCCTTGTTTCTAAAGGTATCTCTGAAACTGCAGGAAGGAGCACCGTGGTTGCATGTTTGCTTGCACACAAGCTTGCAGGTGATACTAATGTGGTTTAGACCTTTCAGATCGTGCAAAAGAGAAGACTAAAGGGATTTTTAAACAGTAGTGAAGTGGCAAAAATATATAAATAGGGGAAGAAATCAGAAAAAAAAAATCCAATTAAGAAACTACCTCTATAGGAGTTTAAATAAACTAAATAAAAAGCTATCCATAATTAACATTTTCTGCATTTTGGCAGAGTTTTTCTTAATTAAAGGGATGTAACAGATGGGCATTATGCTGGCTGGCTCTGAATATAGGGCGCGGGGGGCAGGGTGGGGGGAGGAAATGATCCAGTGTAAGAAAGACAGTAGAATTAAAAATATGAAATAAGTGGAACTACAAAAGGAGGGAGGGGAGAAACTCCACAATTACGTCATCAAGCTCTAAAGCAGTGCTTCTCAACCATGCGGACTTCAGCTCCCAGAATTCCCCAGCCAGCATGCTCATTCGGAATTGAAATCCGCACATCTTAAGGTGGCCCAGGTTGAGAAACACTGCTCTAGAAGGCCTTAATCTCTCTCTATCAACTAGTAGAATTAAAAGTGACAGAATGGTCACTAAATGAACTGTGGCATATAGTGATGGCTTATAGTGACAGCAGTTTGATGCTTACCCAGCCAGGGGTGGGTTCTACATACCTTTACTACAGGTTCACAATGGGACCACACGCGCATGCTTCTGCACATGCTCAGAAGCTTCCTGATGACATCTAGGTCGGTGGGCGGAGCCTCCCGCTGGTTTTACTACCAGTTCTTGCGAATCGGTCTGAACCGGAGGCAACCCCCACTGTACCCAGCCCACCTGCTGCCAATTCCCCTCAGAAAATTAGATATCCTTTACGGAAAAAGGACTCCCATCTCTGTTAAATACTGTAAGATACTGATAAGATACCCAGGTTTTTTCACTTCCTCTCTGATTACCAATTGTATGATTTCCTATTACAGGTAGTCCTTGATTTATAACAGTTCATTTAATGACCATTCGAAATTACAACGCCATTGAAAAAAAGTGACTTATGACCATTTTTTCACAGTTATGACTGTTGCACATGATTTACATTTGGACGCTTGACAACTGGATCATATTTATGATGGTTGCAGTGTCCCGGGGTCATGTGATCCTCTTTTGTGACCTTCTGACATGCAAAGTCAGTGCAGAAGCCAGTTTTACTTAACAACCATGTTACTGGTTTTAGAACTGCAGTGATTCACTTAACAAATGTGGCAAGAAAAGTGGTAAAATGGAGCAAAATTCACTTAAATGTTTCACTTAGCATCATAAATTACGGGCTCAATTATGATCGTAAGTCGGGGACTACCTGTATACCATAGCACACACCCCTTTTTTTTTAAAGGCAAAAGTTTGACATGAAACTTGAACTGAAATTCTGTACAAAAAATCAAAAATCCCACTCAGTCTCGACTCTGCACCAGTATTTCTCAACCTTAGCAACTTTTGAGTTTTGTGGATTTCAATTCCCAGCATTTCCTAGCCACTGTGCTGACTGAGGAATTCTGGGAGTTGAAGTCCACGTGCCTTAAATCTACCAAAGTTGAGTAACACTGCTGTAGGCTAAGATGTGATCTGTGGCATTTGATTTATTTCTTGGTTCCAGCAATGCTCACTCTGATCACAGTGATTCCTCCTCATTACTGCCCCTCTTTCTCTCTGCAGGTCTTGGAATGGTTGGGCGAGAAGAGGGGACCCGAAGCTCTGCAATGAGAGAGCCAAATGCCCGTGGCTCCCTCTTTAAAGAGAGCCAGGATTAAGAAGGACATTGGACGTGAGCAATGGCTGATGGCGATGCTGCTCTGAGCAGTGAGCCACCTGTAGGTCAAGAGGAGCGGCCATACAAATGCAAGCAGTGCCCACGGAGTTACCGCCATGCTGGCAGCCTGGTGAATCACCGCCGTACCCATGAGGTAGGCCTTTTCCGCTGCCTGCTGTGCCACAAAGACTTCTCCAACCCCATGTCCCTGAAGAGTCACCTGCGCACTCATACAGAAGAGAAGCGTCACAAATGCCCAGACTGCGGCACAAGCTTCCGCGTTTCATCCCAGCTTCCAAGCCACCACTGCCCAGCTCAGGCCATCCAGGAGCAGGAGGAAGAAGGCCAAAGGGATGGGAGTTACAGCTTCCAAAGGGGCCAGGGCATGTCTTCTCCAGATGTTGACTCCCGTTCTGGGATGGAAGGCAGCAGCGGGAGTCTGTTGTCCAATCTGGAGAAGTACATTGCTGAGTCGGTGGTGCCAGCTGACTTTTCTCAGCAGGAGTTTCCAATCAAGAAGGAACGGGAGAATCAGGATTCGCTTCCAGGGCACAGGGAGGGCGGGGAGGAGCCTGGGCTGCTGGCTGCCCTGGAGGATGAGCGCCGCTACAAATGCAACCAGTGTGACAAGGCTTACAAACATGCTGGCAGCTTGACCAATCACAAGCAGAGCCACACGCTGGGGTTCTATCAGTGTGCCATGTGCTACAAGGAGTACTCCAACCTCATGGCCCTCAGAAGCCACACCCGTCTCCACTCGGAGTATCGGCCCTACAAGTGCCGCTTTTGCCACAAAGCCTTCCGGTTGCCCTCAGAGCTGCTGAGCCACCAGAAATCCCACAGCCAGGAAGAGAGCAAGTCCGCAGACCCGTCAGCCTGGGAGGATTCAGAACATGACGTTTGGGAGGAGGACTCCATAGAAACATCAGCAAAGTTGGACATCTATCAGCCGCCTCTCATGGGCACAGGCTTCGGGGACAGGGTGCCCTGCAGCCTCAAAGATACCTCCAAGGCCGGTGGTGGAGAACGCTGTAATCCAGATGGAGAGCTGTGTGTCCGCTGTGGCGGGACCTTCGCCAATGAGGAGGAGTTGAAGGAACACAGTTGTCTTTACCCAAAGGAGGCAGATGAAGAAGAAGAAGCTGAGGGCAGCAGCCCTTCCCAAGCAGCCCCCAGCTCCAGTGAAGCTTGGGAAGCCCGTCTGAAGAGCGAGGAAGCCTTTCCCATGTCTGAAGAGCGTCCTTTCCGCTGCGGGGACTGTGGGAGGACATACCGCCATGCAGGAAGCCTCATTAACCACCGGAAGAGCCACCAGATCGGAGTGTACAGTTGTACCGTCTGTTCAAAACAGTTGTACAATTTGGCTGCCTTGAAAAACCACTTGCGGGTACACCTCAGGTCCAAGCTCAACTCCTCGGTTCCAGAAGAGGCCTCCCAGCACCCAACTGGGATCCTGGATCCACCAAAAGCGCAAGACTGCCCTGACGACTGCCCAACCCGGCCCTCGGATGCCTGGAAAGGACCAGCCGCCTGTCCAAAGGAAGAGGAAGAAAGGACTCTCGGGGAGGAAGAGCGACCCTACCGGTGCGAAGACTGCGGTCGGAGTTATCGCCACCGCGGCAGTCTAGTGAACCATCGCCACACTCATCAGACAGGAATCTTCCAGTGTTCCATCTGCCCCAAGCAATACTCCAACCTCATGGCACTCCGGAACCACGTCCGTGTGCATTTGCGGGCCGCGCGCATGCGGGGCAAAGAATTAGGGGACAGCTTGACCTGCACTAATTGTGGAGAGAGTTTTGAGGAGGCTGAATTCCAGCTTCATCAGCTGCGCCATCTGCCCTGCACAGAGGACATTGAGACAGCCGAGGTGCCTAGGCTTGGCGTCCTTCACTGTCAGGAAGCAGATCTTCTTCAGACTATTAAACAGGACGTAGAAGCCCTGGAGAATGGGGCAACGGTGGCTGAGGACATCCTCCCGGCCTCGGAGATGTCTCACGTTTGTCACCAGTGCGGGTTGGCCTTTCCTACCATGACTGGCCTGCAGACTCACGCTGTGCAACACATCAGTGGAAGGGAGCATTTGGAAGGGGTGGCGGAAGGAACTGACCCACCTGTCCCCATCCAGCGTCTCTACGAGTGCGAGCTGTGTGGCAAGTCATACCGGCATTCGGGAAGCCTCATCAATCATAAGCAGACGCACCAGACGGGCGACTTCAGCTGTTCGCTTTGCAGCAAACACTTCCAAAACATGGCCTCCCTTAAAAGCCACTTGCGTGGCCATCAGAGGCCCAGGAGAGGGCTGTCTGAGACACTGGTGACCACGAACGAGGAGACTGACACTGAAGCTGGTGCTGCCATGCCTATGATTTTATCTTCAGCAGAAGAGCTGAGAGATAGTTGCAGTATTTGGGAAAAGGATGCCACAGCCAATGGCTGTCAGTCGGAGTCACAAGCGTCTTCCCCATTGCCTGACAATCCTGAAGACCTTCCCTATCTCTGTGAGCAATGTGGGCTGGGCTTTGACCAGGCCAAGAACTTGATTGATCACCGACAGACCCATCAAGCTGGCATCTTCCAATGTTCTCTCTGCCCTAAAGAGTATCCCACCCTCCTTGCTCTAAAACACCATTTCCACGGGCACGCCAACGCCACAACATCCAGCCAGGACAACCCCAAAGACCACGCTGAGGAGCAGCCATTCCTCTGCAGCCTCTGCGGCATGATCTTCCCCAGCGAAGAGAGCCTTCAGCATCACCACAGCCTCTTGCACGAGGAGGCCGAAAGCCGGAGCGACAGTCCAGATGTGCTGAAAAGGGAAACAGAAGAGCAGCTGGATGGTGGAGGGGATCCAGAGGAGGACCAGCTCCTCTCCCACATCTGTGGTTATTGCGGACAGACATTTGACGATATGGCTAGCTTGGAAGAGCACAGCAATGGGCATCTGGAAGAGAAAGCGGCGGCCTTGGCCGATACTTCTATCCAGCTACGGCGAGCTCCACGCATGGAGGATGACCTGCCCCCTGTACCTCCACCTTTGGTGGAAACATTTCCTCTTGCTGATGATCTGCTGGACAACCGGCCTTACGCCTGTGGTCAGTGTGGCAAGACCTACCGTCATGGTGGAAGCTTAGTCAATCACAAAAAGATCCACCTGATTGGCGATTACCAGTGCAGCATCTGTTGCCGACAGTACTGTAACTTGTCCGCCTATAGGAATCACCTTCGAAACCACCCAAGATGCAAGTTGAACGGCAGCATCCCCCAACTGCAACAACCGGTCCTTGCTGCAGAAAGGGGACCACCTTGCACTTACAAGAAGCTGAAGGATGAGCCGTGTGGAGCTTCCCAAAATGGAGAAGCTCCTCTGAGCAATTCTTTTCTTGCCTCTCCTATAGGAAAAGTAAAAGTGGAACAAGGAGAAGAGTTGAGCTCAGGCCTGTCGGAGAGCAGAGAAGCTCAGGAATGTGATGTTCCTGGAGAGGGGAATGAGAAGGAGGAGGTCCACCAAGCAATACAGGAAATGGAGACAATAAAGAAAGAGGAAGAAGGAGCAGGAGAGGAGAAGGGCCCTCAGGCGGAAGAGGAAGACTCTCTCTTGGAACGCCCCTTTCAGTGTGATGTTTGTGGACGCAGCTACAAGCACGCCGGCAGCCTCATCAACCACAAACAGACCCATAAGACAGGCCTCTTTCACTGCAGCATTTGCCAGAAGCAGTTCTACAATCTAATGGCCCTCAAAAACCACAACCGCACCCATTTTGAAACCAAACGCTACCGATGTGCCGAGTGCCCCAAGGCATTCCGGCTCCAGAAGCAACTGGCCAGCCACCAGCGTGTGCATCGGGACAGGAGGCCGGAGCCTGTTTTCCACTCGGTCCAGAGGCCCCTTCGGGCCAAGCGAATTGGCAAGGCAGAGACGTTCCCGCTCCTTCCGGTCTCTGCTAAGCAGCTTCCAGATCCCGAAGAGCGTCCGTACAGATGCGGGCAGTGCGGGCGCTCGTACCGCCATGCAGGCAGCTTGCTCAACCACCAGAAGAGCCACAAGGTCGGGCACTTCACTTGTGCCTTGTGCAGCAAGGCTTACCCCAACCTCATGTCCCTGAAGAACCACCAGCGCATCCATTATGAAGTGAAACGCCACCAGTGTCCCGACTGTGGCAAAGCCTTCAAGTGGCAGCGGCAACTGCAGAGGCACCAGCGCCGACCCCATCCTTGCAGCAAGGTCATGCCAGGGCAAGAGCCCGAAAGAACTAAAGCAGATTGCGAGAGGGATGAGGGGAACAACCCCGGAGAGGCACCTGTCGGGACTTTGCAGAGCCAACCACGCCCCAAACGCTTTCGCAACCACACCTCCCAAAAGAACCACAGTCGCGTGCGTGCAAAGAAACGTTTGGAGTGCTCGGATTGTGGCAAAGCTTACCGGGCCTCCAGGGATCTGATGCAGCACCTGAGAAGGCATCAAGCTGAGGAAAGAGGGGACAGTCCTAAAGGCAAGCTGCTGGAGGACCAGCCTTACAAGTGTCATAGCTGTGAGCGGACATACCGCCATCCTGGTAGTCTGCTAAATCACAAGAAGGCCCATGCGACCGGCCTCTACCACTGCCCCACTTGCCAGAGGGACTTCTACAACCTACTGGCTCTCAAGAATCACCTTCACATCCACACGGACAAGAGACTCCACCGATGCCCCCATTGTGGCAAGGCCTTCCGGACGGCCAAGCGGTTGGCCGCCCACACCAAGGTCCATGGCAGGTCGAAGGAAGAAGAGACCTTCTCCTGCCCCATCTGCTCGAAGAGGTTCTTCCACCACCTTACCTTCCAGCAGCACCAGTTGTTGCACGCCAAGGTTGATGGGCACCATGCCCTTGAGGGTGGTATCACAGGGGAAGGGAACTGAAGGTTTGTTAGCACACGTGGGGAAGTGCACCCAGGATTGTATGGCAGGGAGATCCAATTACAGGGAAACGGTCAAGGTTTGGGTAGGAAGCTGGCTTCATAGGAACTACGGTCCACGCATCGGGGGGAGGGAAAAAGGAAAAGGTTAAACCTGGTCGTCAATGGGAGATAAGACGAGGAAAATTGGGTCCATGATTCCCCAGCTTTTTTCTTTTTCTTTTTTTTAGAACATAGAAAAACCGAGCTGCGATAGCAGGGAAGAGAACAGGTGACATGGGGCGGTGGTGGGTTTTCTCCTCTTAACAGAATGTTACGTTAAGCACATAACAGAATGCATCTCTGTGGCGTCTCTTGGAAACATGCCCCCTCTTTCCTGTCTTGGATCCTCTTTGGGGAACTGACTTTGAACACCTTTGGGACCTTCAGAGGATTGTGCATTCTCCTATTTGCATTCTTGAACTGTTTTCTATCCTTTTGGGATGTCAGATGAGTAGCTAACTCCATGTTTAAGCTGCATATAAGTATTTAAATTGCTGGGTGTTTTTTTTTATTAATGGCAAAAGTACTGTCATAGGAAAAAACAAGAATACTGGGGGTGGGTCTCAGTGTCGTTCCTGAACAAAGACTTAAAGAAGAAGACAATAATCCTCGGTGTGGAGTAATCTTTCCTTAAAAAAAAAAAATTCTACCTCCTTCACTAAAATACGTACACGTTTCCTTGGTATGCCAAGGAAACATAAAAAGCAGTTCAAAAGGCGTAGATTTTGATCGCTTTCAAAATGGATTCTGAAATGCTCACTAAAAGGTACTAGGGTTTATGTGGAAGGCTTTCTAAAGAAACTTTGACTGAAAGTTTTAGGTTTATGTGGGTAAGCAAGCTCTCCTTGGCAGAACCTGTGCTGGCTGTGTTTTATCAGAATAGGTCTTGAGCAAAATAATAATAATTGGGGATTTTGTAAACGAGTCGTCAAGAAAAACCACTTACCTCCTGAAATTAGTGGGGCTTCTTATAGGCGTATCTCTTGAGAGGAAGATTCCATTTTCCTAGTTTCCCCGCCCCCCCTTTGATCTCCCCCTTCCATTCCCCAGATGGGTTGGCCCACCACCCCTACCACCGTATTGACTGAGAATGATGGGTGTTGCCATCAAGTGCATCTTGGAAGAAGGCAGCTCTGAGAACGCTTCTTGGCTACAGCTACCCTCACCATCTTTTGGACCACAGAAACCAGATCTCTCTGTCTGTCCATCTTTTTAGAAGGAGACATGGAGTGCCCAGCTGAAGGAGAAGGGATAGCGATGCACACAGATCACTTTATGATCCAGGCTGTCCCTTAGGGGGATTCTCATGGCCAGACTCAAGTTCTTCATTTCTCTTTACACCCCAGAGAAGCATCTGGGGCACTTTTTAATTTGAAGAAAATTTTCAAGGCGCTCAACTTTCTGAGCTCTGCTGCATCCAGATAGGAGCTTGGTTCTGCCATTATTTTGAGACACTTAATTTATCTTTGATTTCTGTTCAGTTGCCACTTTGCCTTTAAGATGCCGGGGTTGGTGGGGAGTGTTTCCCAACGTAAATAATATCGTTAGTATAAGTCTAATAATTGGAATCCTAGCTGGTGTGGAAAGCTAATTAATCTTGTTCTTCATGAGATTTGCACAGGGTTTGGCACAGATGGTATCAGGCCTCCTTTCTTCCCCTGATGTTTGTTTGTATTTCTTTTTAGAAGAAAACCCTTCTGTTAATGGCGGTATTTACTCTCCCATCTAGTCTGGACCTGAATTCCCCCAAGGAAGAGTCACCGAGTCTAATCCTGCACAATATGAAACAATGCCTCTTGTTTCTCCCCATATCAGTTCTCAACAGGCAAGACTAACAATGCTAAGCAGCGGCGAGGGTGGCTCAGGCCTGGCGGTCCAGTACTGGAAAGACAACAGAGCAGGAAGGGAATATTTCCTTGTTTCAGTTGTCATGAGAGAAATCTCAGTTTGAGAGAACTGTTGGAGTACTGTTTTGATCCCTTCATTCTGTTTTGCCCAGAGTGCTTGGATCCCTTTAGGATTTAGGGCTGACTTGGATGCAGATCAGATTGCAGAGAAGGGATTCTAACCCCTGGGGGACTTTTCTCTACGGCTTGGAAAACAGAGAAGGGAACCAGGTTAGATGGGCTTGTTTTTCAAACACAGTGAGATTTTTATTTTTAGTTTTAAAAGACCAGCCGGAATGGAGATGCCTTGAAATGAAGCATCCCCATGTGCTTTCCCTGTTCTGCAAGGCACAGCCAGAGATTACTGGAGATGCCTCAAAGAGCTGTCGCCCTCATAATCCCTAGAATTTGTAAATGGTTTATAGTGATCAGCTTTTAGACTACAGGGATGCGGTGGGTGGGATTATGAAAACATAAAAAAAAAAAAATTAAACAAGAGGACTAGAAACTTGACCATCACCAGGCTATCTTCTTCTGTTTTGGGGTTGGCACGGGTACCTGTTTCACTACTGCTCTGAGGCCAGCCCCCAATTTTGTTCTCATTCAGGTAGAATTTGGTTCAGTGAAAGAATAAATGTTTTTAAGTAGGTAAGAGCTCTTCATTTGTGATTAAATTTTATAGAATTTCTAACATAGGCGGGTAATATTTTTCATAGGGCGCGGGAGGGACACGTGTTGGTTTATTTCACCAGCTAAAAATCTGGTTTTTTTTTTCTTCTGCCTTCAATGTTTATCCTTAACAATGCCCAATAACTCCAGAATGTTGACGATCAAGTCCTGTATATGCTGCTGTTTTGGATAACTGACATTTTAGCTCTGGTTCAGCAAAAAGAAAAAAAGAAAGAAAAACCTCACAAAAGGAAAATAAATTTTGAGTTTCGTATGTTTTCAAATGCTTCCCCTCCTCCTTAAACGCAGGGACGGAATATGATTCAAGACGTTATTTGATGTCATTAGATTTGAAAGCTCCTGGCCGGTTGGGCTCTGTCTCTCTCTCACTCTCTCTCTCTCTTTGTGTGTTTGTGTTTGTGTTTGTGTGTGTGTTGGTGAAGAAAGGCAGAATCAAGAAGACATTTTCAAACGTTCATATTTTACTGTTCTGACATGTTCTCAAACCAATAGTTGCCACTGCCCTCATAGAGAATGGGAGACAACTGATATTCTGCTCCCCAGCCTTCCCAAATCGAGACCTGGATGGGCTAGACTACAGTCCCTATCACCCCCAGCCAGCAGTCTGGCAGGAACTGGTGCTCTAGTTCAGGTTACCAAGCAAGAAAAGACTATTTTTCCCTGATTAGTGGAAGACTTCTCCTAACTATGTTTAGCGGCCTGGGAATTTCTTTTGAAAGCTATCTGGTGCCCCCTGGTGCCCAGACCTGAACTGTGAAGCACCTCAATGACAAATAAATTGTTTTTAATTTTTTAAAATAAAAGAGAGAACAGCTTTCTCTGCTGTTATGAATATGGGGAGGGGGTGGTCAAATTATTTTTAGGCAAGCTAGCTGAGGTCTTCAGCAAAGCAGCAGACAGATCAGTTAGTTTGATCTCACGAAGCAGTAAAGTCTACCCTTAGGTGAATCCAAGGCCTACCCAAGCTGCTCATGGCCATGGTCTGGCATTAGACTTCCTTTTTGTCGTTTGTGCTGACTCAAGTCCACAGAAAATCACTTTCCGGTGGGGCTTCCCATTTTTGGGGTGTTTCTTTTCCAACACTTGGGCCCCTATCCGACCGGTGGAGTTTGTGAAGCCCTGTGAAATCAATGGGATCCATTTCTAAGAGCTTCCTTGCAGCCTATGGCATTCTGTAACACTGACCGGAACAACCATTTTCTAACATCTTGAATATCAATTGTTTTGCAATTGTTCAGAGTTTTTTTTTTTTTTTTTACAGATTAGATTGATGATAGATAGATAGATAGATAGATAGATAGATAGATAGATAGATGAAAGATGAATGGTTAGATAGATGAAAGATGAATGATTAGATGAAAGATAGGAGATAAATAGGCAGACAGACAGATGAATGATTAGATGGATGAAAGATTAATGATTAGATGAAAGGTGATAGATTAGATAGATAGATAGATAGATAGATAGATAGATGATGGATGGATGAATGATTAAGATGAAAGATGAATGATTAGATAGATGAAAGATGAATTATTAGATGAAAGATAGGAGATAAATAGGCAGACAGACAGATGATTAGATGGATGAAAGATTAATGATTAGATGAAAGGTGATGATAGATAGATAGATAGATAGATAGATAGATAGATAGATGATAGATGGATGGATGGATGAATGATTAAGATGAAAGATGAATGATTAGATGAAAGATGAATTATTAGTAAGAGAGATGAAATATGAATAGATAGATGATAGATAGATAGATAGATAGATAGATAGATAGATAGATAGATAACCCCGGGGTCCCCAATGCCTGGCCTATTGTCTGCTACCAGTCTGCAGTCCATTGGGAAATGAGCCACCAAAGTGGCGGGTGAGCACCTGAAGCTTGCACATGCACAGGATTCAGGTTGTGCACATGAAACCATTCCCCAAAACTGTCACCACCAGTCCTCAAAATAAAAAAAAGGTTGGGGATCCCTGCATTAATGGATATATATATATATATATATATATGTGTGTGTGTGTGTGTGTGTGTGTGTGTGTGTGTGTGTGTAGGTCTTTGGTTATTCGGGTCTTCTCCCACGTAAAATTGGAAGTGTCTTGGCGACGTTTCGACGAAGTCTCATTCGTCATCTTCAGGCTGGTGTTCTCGGCTTCGTGCTTCCAGGAGCAATGTGAGATCGCAGCTGTCTCTTCCTTTTAACTGCTAGTGGAGGTGTGAGCTGATTGGGTGGGAACTTGGCTGTGTTCTGATTGGGTGGAGGTGTGTTCTGATTGGTTAGGGGCTTGGCTGTGCTCTGATTGGCTGGGGTTGTGTTCTGTTTGGGTGGGGGCTTGGTTGTGCTCAGCTTAGTCTGAGTTGCAGGGGGATTTGAGCTGCTGAGCTGCGTTGTTGTTGTTTGGCTTCGTGTTTGTGGCCGTGCGAGCTCTTCATGGTGGGTGTCAGTCTGCTTCATGTATGGATTGGAGGGGTTTAAAGTGGCTAATGATGCAGCTGCGGTCTGGCTTCTGGTCCTTGGTCGTGGCTCATTATCAGTGTGGGTTTGAGTCTGCTTTCTGCGTGGATGTGTGGTGGTGACATCAGGTGTGGCACTCGTGAGTGTGGGTCTGGTGTCATTGTCGTGTTAGGGACTCGTTTGTCAATAAGGGCGGGTTTCCAAATGGCTGGTAGGCGGAGGTATCGTCTCGTTTGTTCATGCTGTGTGGGCGTTTTTCTATCTCGATGGCTTCTCTGATTATTCTGTTGTTAAAGTGTTCAGTTTTGGCGATAGTTCTGGTCTTTTTAAGTCAATATCATGTCCTGTGGCTTTAAGGTGTTGGACCAGGGAAGAAGTTGGTTCCTCTTTTCTGACTGAGTTCTTGTGTTCTTCTATGCGTGCACTTATTCGTCTGTTGGTTTGTCGATGTATGTGGTCAGGCGGTGCATGGATTTCATATACTCCTTGATTTTCTAACTCAATTTTGTCTTTGGGTTCCTAACTCTAAATTGAGTTAGAAAATCAAGGAGTATATGAAATCCCATGCACCGCCTGCCCCACCACATACATCGGACAAACCAACAGACGAATAAGTGCACGCATAGAAGAACACAAGAACTCAGTCAGAAAAGAGGAACCAACTTCTTCCCTGGTCCAACACCTTAAAGCCACAGGACATGATATTGACTTTAAAAAGACCAGAACTATCGCCAAAACTGAACACTTTAACAACAGAATAATCAGAGAAGCCATGAGATAGAAAAACGCCCACACAGCATGAACAAACGAGACGATACCTCCCGCCTACCAGCCATTTGGAAACCCGCCCTTATTGACAAACGAGTCCCTAACACGACGAATGACACCAGACCCACACTCACGAGTGCCACACCTGATGTCACCACCACACATCCACGCAGAAAGCAGACTCAAACCCACACTGATAATGAGCCACGACCAAGGACCAGAAGCCAGACCGCAGCTGCATCATTAGCCACTTTAAACCCCTCCAATCCATACATGAAGCAGACTGACACCCACCATGAAGAGCTCGCACGGCCACAAACACGAAGCCAAACAACAACAACGCAGCTCACCAGCTCAAATCCCCCTGCAACTCAGACTAAGCTGAGCACAACCAAGCCCCCACCCAAACAGAACACAACCCCAGCCAATCAGAGCACAGCCAAGCCCCTAACCAATCAGAACACACCTCCACCCAATCAGAACACAGCCAAGTTCCCACCCAATCAGCTCACACCTCCACTAGCGGTTAAAAGGAAGAGACAGCTGCGATCTCACATTGCTCCTGGAAGCACGAAGCCGAGAACACCAGCCTGAAGATGACGAATGAGACTTCGTCGAAACGTCGCCAAGACACTTCCAATTTTACGTGGGAGAAGACCCGAATAACCAAAGACCTACATACAAACACCCGCGAAAACCTGAGAAAACATATATATATATATATATAGAAAATATATATATATATTTTAAGCCCTGGCCTAATTTGCAATTAGGGAGGAGGGAGGATCAATTTTTGCCCCAGGTGGTTTCATAATTAAAAGCCTGTCTGTGGGACTTCCGGCAGTGACATGGAGTTGAGGCGGCACGGGGAAAATCACTCTGTTCTCAGTGCCAATTTTCTGGCGTTTTGGTGACCCTTAGGGGTGAGGATCGGTCTGGTGGGACCAGCAAGAAGGAGGGGAATCTTCGGAGGAGGTGTGGAGAGGTACAGTCTCACACCACACCAAGAAGGATCTTCAATCCAAACGCAGAAGAAGCCAGCCGACGTGGCTGACCCAGAGGCTTGACGTCCTGGTTTAGAGCAATAGGAAGCGGAGAGTGAGTACGGTGTTAGATTCGGCGGTGAGAGCAGGAAATAGAAGTTTCCAGTTTTTGGACTATTGGAGAAGAGGAGTTCGGAGGGGCAGCGGAGAGGAAAGAAAGACTCTGAGTGTGAACAGGCGGCAAATAGTGAGGAGAGCAAAACGGAGAGAGGGCAAACTTCAGACCAGCAGAAGAACACTGGGGGAGGGGAGTGGAAAAGGAGATGATCGGGAGGAAAGTGAGTCTTCCAGGAAGCTGGGAAAGAGAAGTGAACCTGAACACAAGGTTCTGTCTTTACCCCTATATTTGCTGCTCTAACGAAAGAAGAAGTGTGGACTGGCAAAAAGTAAAGGGCGCATGAGAGTGACAGTGCAGATTGGAGATCGCCATTTTGAAGGCAAGGACCAGCTGATGGACCAGCTGAGTGAAGGACTAAAATTTCAAGGAAAAGATTATATTTGAACTCTTAAAGCCTACAAGAACTGAAAGTACTATGTACATTTACATATAACTTATATACTGATATATAATTGTTATATAGTAACAAATAGAATTTAAATTTTTACATTTATAATTAATTAATTGCAAATTATTACTAACGGTAAATTTATTGTCTTTTTACTTTTTCTTTTTTACTTTTTCTTGCTCTTTTTCTTTACCCTTTTCGTTCGACTTGTTCATTTATTATTTAAAACAAATGTTTAAAGTTAATATTAGAGCTTCTTAATTGATTAAATTAGTATTTGTATATCTGCTTATTTGCTGGTTTAAATTGAAAGTGGAATAATTTTAGTAATTAGATTATTAATTAAGGTATTAATGAATTTCTCTTTTTAATAGAATTTTATTAATTAAGTTAGAAATTATATTATATAGATAAGCTTTCTGGGACATAATGCATTGTGAATTGTAATGGACTAGTTTATAATCTGGTATAAGAGATAAGGAAAGGA